CTGTGGAAGTTTGTCACACTGGATAGTAAGCCTGTGGAAGTTTGTTATACGGGTCTAATTATGCTTGGAAATTTCTTTAATAAAATGTGTTGTGTTTTGAAATCCCCTTCCTCTGAAAACCCAGTCACTTTCTGGGCTGTCACCAGATAGCAGCACTACCCGAGAGCAATAGTGAGTCGCCCGCGTGGCTAATCACCAATGTGGTTTCTCCCTTCACACTTGGCTTGGATTAACTGGTTTCTCCCATTATGTTTTGTGTTTGTCTTTTTGTTTTGTTTTTGAGACACAGTTTCTCTGTGTAGCCCTGGCTGACCTGGAACTCACAGAGATCTGCCTGCCTCTGCCTGCACTAGGCCTCTCTCCCGCTAAGCTTCACAAATAAATGTCACTTCTTGGGTCCTTATTGTATGGCAGACACTTGCAGTTTCTTTAACCCTCAGGTCAACCTAAAAACTGCAGGAAGCCACTACTGACCACAAACAGAAGGTCACCTGGAACAGAGTCTGAGTAACTTCAACACACAGTTCCATAGCTGGTCAGCAGTGGGGCTGCTGGGGTTGTTTCCAAATCCCATCTACCAAAAAAAAAAAAAAAAAAAAGGAAAGAGGCTGGTGGTACAGGTCACAAGCAATAGCAATACAGCAATATACCTGCTTGCGTAACATACTTAAGGCACCAGGTCTGAGTGGGGCAGTGGTGGGGCAGGAGTGGCGGGCATTCTATTTCTGATCCTACAAAGAGTAAGATAAATTATTAAGAACAAGAAAAGTACTTCCGAATATCTTTCAAAAGCCTTAGCACGAAGGTAAACCTATAGCCCAGATTTTCCAAGGCATCTAAGACTCAGATATTCTGCCGCTACAAACCTCCACAGGCTCAGATACTAGTCACGTGAGCAGACCTCGGGAGAAGGACTGAACAATCACACCACTGATAGGTCTAGGGCCCGATTCTTTGGGCTCTGGGATCCTCTGAACACTGGACACATGACCTAAGCCCAGAAGTGTCATCCTAGACAATGGGGACATTGTGACCTCCCAGTCATTCCCACTTCAAAAGACTGGGACCAACTGGAACAAGCAGGAAGACAAACGACGAAAACAAAACATGATCTTATCTGAGCTAAGATCACTGCTGTGGAGACAAACAGAGCCTAGGAGGGCTGGGAGAAGCTGGGAGGCTTTACGGTGGAAGCTCCTTGTCCTTTGGGGAAATTCTGTTTTTCATCCCACAAACAGGAAAAGTGGCAGATCTGAGACTAGGACTTGAGGAGTCTTGTTCTCTAGTTCAGGCTAAGAACTAAAACATCCAGAAGAACCCAGTGGTGGGAGGCAGGACACAGGAAATTTGATGAATAGAGTTTGATTTAAATACTTAAGTCCTTCTTTTGATTGTCCCAGCTGCCCCAGAGATTCTGTGGGGACCGGGAAAATGCTGGATTATCTGTCTCCTAGAATTCTGGAAGTGAAATGTTTTCAGTTCCCCTGGCCCTGATATCCAAGATTACACTCAGGAGAGCTTTCTCCATTTGAGTGGCTTCAGGGCTTCATAGATCTAGACCAACAAGTGATCTGGTTTCTTCTCCTCCCTGCCTTAGGGATGCTGACAAGTCCTCAGAAAGCTAGGGCTCGTGCTAGGCTTGCCGGGGCATGTGAGGGGATTTAAGGGTTTGGAATCAGATCTAGAATAAGGTATCTACCGCCAAGTCAAAGGCCCGGGGCTCTTAAGGCTAAAGCAGGTGGTAGGACCAACAGCTATAAAACAAGAAATGTTATGGGAAGGTCTAATAAACCGAACTTGACCTGTTAAGTGTTCTTGCACTTGCACCACCCCAAAAGATGTTCAAGGATAAACAGAAACTAAGTAAGGAGACTAGCGTAATAAATTCTCATGTGCCTCACACAGCAACAGCTTCATCACCCCATGGCCATTCTTCTAAAACCTGTTCTTTTACTTTTATTGGAGCCCAGAAGGCTGAGTGCACAACAGATGGACCTGACGATTGCCAGGGCCCTACCTGCTGTCCTGAAG